GGTTAATGATTTCAATATCAAATACGAAATTTATTATTTTTTTCAAATACGAAATTTTAAAATGTTTTAGTAGACTCCATGGATGAGCATTTCTTATTCTTTAGGCTTAAGGTGGGAAAATTATTTCTTAAATAAGACACACACACGATTGATGTGACCACTTTAAGACCTTTTGTTCAATAAAGGCACTTATAAAGAGAAAAAAAAAAACTGGGAGAGGATATTTGCAATATAAGTGAGAAAAAAATGGGCAGCCCGGGTGGCTCAGCGGTTTAGCGCCGCCTTCAGCTCAGGGCATGATCCTGGAGACCTGGAGATGGGAGTCCCATATCAGGCTCCCTGCATGGAGCCTGCTCCTCCCTCTGCCTGTGACTCTGCCCCCCTCTCTCTCTGTGTGTCCCTGATGAATAAATAAATAAAATCTAAAAAAAAAAAAAAAGTGAGAAAAAATTAGCATAAGAATTCATAAAAGTCAACATAAAAAGCACATATAACCTCGTAGAAAAATAGGCAAAAGATATGAACAGGCACTATTCAGAAGAGGAAACACAGATAGCTAATAAAAAATGGTCAATCTTACTGATTAGGTAAATGCAAATTAAGATCACATTGAAATCATACTCAGATTGACAAAAACGTAAAAAGTCTAACAAAAGCAAGTGTTGAAGAGGATGTGGATCCAGTCATAAGACCTCTTACATAATGCTACTGGGAGTGCAAAGCAGGGTACCTATTTTGGAAAAAAATATTTGATACTATCTTCCAAAACTGAATATTCACATACCCTGTAACCCAACAATACTACTTTAAGTATAAATCCAAACAGACCAAAGAAAGCTCTTACACACCTATTAACAGGAGACGCATTCAAGTATGTTCATAGCAGCACTATTCATCACAGTAAAAACCCAGAAGCAATTCAAATGTCTATCAATGAGAAATCAAAATGTGGTATATTCACACACTGGAAATCATACAATAGTGAAAATGAATAAGCTGAATACATAAAATATGGCTTAATCTTACATTAGGTGAAAACAATCTCAAAAAGATAAAAGGCATATTTTTCCCTTTGTAACAGACTTCATTTATTTTATTTTTATTTTTTAGATTTTTATTTATTTATTCATGAGAGACACAGAGAGAGAGGCAGAGAGAGAAGCAGGTTCCTGTGAAGAGCCAGATGCCCGGACTCAATCCCGGGGCTCTGGGATCACACCGTGAGCTAAAGGCAGACCCTCAACCACAGAGCCACCCAGGTATCCCAGACTACTACTACTACTACTACTTCTTCTTTTTCTTCTTCTTCTTCTTCTTCTTTTTTTTTTTTTTTTTTAGCAGTTTTACGTTTACAGAAAAATTGTGCTGGAGGTACAAAGTTCCAATACATCCTCTGCCCCACCATAGCATACAGTTTCCATAATACTATCATCTTGCATTTCTGTGGTATGTTTGTTGCAACTGATGCACCAACACTGACACATTTTTACTACAGTCCCCAAGGTTTACATTAGGACTCACTCTCTTAAAGTGTACAGTTCTATGGGATCCACTAAACGGATAGTATCATACAGAATATTTTGGCCCTGGTAAAAATGCTCTGTGTTCCACCCATTCATCTTCCCTCCTCTGCCTTGGCAACCATACCTCTTTTTAGTCTCCACAGCCACACTTTTTCCAGGATGGCAAATAGCTGGAATCACACAGTATATAGTCCTTTCAAATTGACTTCTTCCATTCAGCAATATGCATTTAAGATTATTTCATGGGCTTTTTTTTTTTTTTTTTTGGCTTGATAGCTCATTTTTTTCTTTCATTGAATAACACTCCATTGTCTGGATATACTACAGCTTATCTGTTCACTTATCCCAAGACAGCTTAGTTGCTTTCAATTTCTTGGAATTATGAATAAAACTGCTGTAAATATTCATGTGCAGGTTTTTGTGTGGACTTAAGTTTTCAACTTATTTTGGGTAAATATCTAGGAGCTATGTTTAGCTTTGTAAAAAAAACTGCCAAAATCTCTTCCAAGGTGGTTGTACCATTTTGCATCCCCACCAGCAATATAGGAGAGTGCCTATTGCTTTACATCCTTGCCAGCATTTGGTGCTATTAGTGTTCTGGAGTTTAGCCATTCTAATAGGTATATTCTTTTTTCTTGTCTTTTATGGGGGGGAGGGGCTGTTACTTTTTATTATATTTAAAACAATTAAAAATACATTGTATACACACTTTGTGTGTGTGTATATATATATATATATATATACACACACACACAGTTGCATTCGATATAAACACATATGTGGAATATAAATTTATAAAAAGGAAAACAAGAAACGGTGAAAATTTGGGATTATGTTTACCCCAGGTGAAGGGAGGCAAGAGGATCACTTAGTGTATGTGTAGGGTGGGAGGCAAAACATACATTTGGTTGTAAATTTTTGTCATTACAACTTTCTTTTAAGGTGGAAAATACACAGCTATTATTACATTAAGAGTAACTGAATTAATAAAGGTGGGTTGTGTGTGGTCTATGTCCTAATCCCCAGAATCAGTAAAATGTGTTATGGCAGAAATGGGACTTTGCTGATGAGATTAGAGGCGTGTTGAGTTGGGGAGATTATCCTGGCCCTGTGTAATCATCACAAAGAGTCCTTGTAGTGAGAAAGGAAGGCAGGAAGATCAGTCGGAAAGAAGCCTTAGAAACAGACGTCAGAGAGGAAAGAAGTTCCTATGCTGTTTCTGAAGAGGGTGGATGAGACCGAAAGCCAAGGGATGCTGACAGCTTCTACAAGGTAGAAAAGGCAGGGAACCCATTCCTACCCTAGACCTCAGGAACAACCACCCCTGCCAATACCTTGATTTTAGCTCTACTGAAACTGATTTTGGACCTCTGGCCTCCAGAGTCGTAAGACAGTAAATTCCTATTATTTTAAGGCATTAAGTTTATTACAGCAGTAACAGGGAACTAATACAGTGGGCCAGGCATGGATCAATGACTAATTGCATTATGATAAAACCGGCCCAATACTAAGTCCAATAAAAGCAGGCCAACAGGGCAGCCCGGGGGGGGGGGGGGGGGGGGAGGCTCAGCGGTTTAGGGCCTGCCTGCGGCCCAGGGCTTGATTCTGGAGTCCCACGTCAGGCTCCCTGCATGGAGCCTGCTTCTCCCTCTGCCTGTGTCTCTGCCTCCCTCTCTCTGTCTCTCATGAATAATTAAATAAAAAACCTTAAAAAAAAAGAAAAAAGGCAGGCCAACATACACCCTTGAATAACTCCTCACTGTTTCAAAGACAAAGCTCAACTCCTCGGCCTGGTACAAATCCTCCACAACACAATTCCATAGAGCCCACCTCTCCGAGCTCTCAAGACCCCCACTCCATCCACACCTTCCTTTCTTCTCCCTCCCCAAATAACTATATATATATACACACCTTAGATCCCGGTCTCTGCACCCTTTTGCAATTCCCACTGGCTGTTAAGGGGTTCACCGCCCCCGCTAGGGGGAATCTGAAGCTTTCCAGGTTCAAATCCCCCTCCCCCTCCGCACAGACCGGCAGAGCCAACTCTTTACAGCTGGGACCCCTGAGCTCGGGCAACAGGCTGGAAAATCTTGATCACCGCCCTTCCCTTCACAGTAACATTGTGATTCACACTCAGTAACATTCTCCCGAAGATGCTGGGGGGTGGAGGTGGGGGTGGGGAGGGGATGGAGGCGCACCGTGACCTGTGGCAAAAAAAGAAAGAGAAAAAAAAAAAAAATCCTACGGGGCTAGGGGAGCACTTTGGAAAATAGCTGCCTCCTTTCTCGAGCAAGGCTTCGTTTCCCGTGTGCATGATGGATGTCTGCAAACATGACCTTAGTCTGTGCACGTCTCTGCCCGAACGTTCTTTTTTTTTTTTTTTTTTTTTTCCCCCACTCCAAGAAGTCAACAAGGGATATTCGGACCCGATGAGTCACTTTAATGGAGGGCTGCTCCGCTTACCACATTACCCGCCGCGATAACGGATGGGGAAACCTTTGAAACTTCTAAAGCAATCTCCGCAGCCTACCTAGACCAGGAATACCTATTTGCGGGAAAACACGCCCCAAAGACGAGGCCAGACCTTAGGAAGCCCGAGGGGACCCAGCGAGCGCAGCTCCCGGCTCAGCCTGGACCCGACGTCGGCCCCAGCCCCTCCAGCCCGCCGCGCGGGGATGGGGGAGGGGCGACTGATGACCCCCCGTCGGCTGTTTTGATGCACAGAGAACAGCTCAGAAAGGCCGGCGGACTCCGACACCACGCGGAGCCACAGCACAGCTGCAGACGCAGTTGAAGAACCCGCTCTCAGGCTGGACGAGGGCGGAGCGGTAGCACAGGCTGAGCCAACTGGAGAGCCCTAAAATGCGGCGAGCAGTCCTAGGACAGCCCCCCAGAGCGAGGCGCTCTGGGACTTGTAGTTTACTTCCCGGCCAGCGTTTTTAATTCCCATCCCGTCCCCCGCAGCCTTCCAACGTCGCTTTTATGCTCTCCCTCTCCTTCCAGCACGCCAACTTCCTGGTCGCCGCACGCCCTCACGTACGACTACACTACCCAGAAGTCTCTTCTTCGCGACCCAGCGCGCCGGGGGCGCCGGCAGTCTCCCGCGGACTACAGTTCCCAGAAGTCCCCTGGAGAAGTGCTTCCCTCTCTCCTTTCCAGGACCACAATTCCCAGAACCTTCAGCTTCCCGGCGGTTCCCTTTTTTTACTCGATCTCTCCTCGGGCTGGCTGGGGTTCAGCCGGCCGGCAGGCACAGAGCGGACGTCGTGATTCGTCGGGACTGGGCGCAGGGTTTCCTTAGCGGCCTGTTTTGCTCCCCGCTCAGTGATTCCCTTTACAGGCCGTCGCGGCTGGCCTGAGCGGTGACCTGGCGGGCCGCGCCTGCGCTCTGCCCCGTTTCCTGCCTGGCTGGTGGCGGTGGCCATTTTGTTCATCCTCCTCCTCCTCCTGCTCCTCCTGGTTGGAGCGCAGTGTCCGGAGCGGGCTGGGGGGAGAGAGCCCGAGAGCAGGGTTCGGTGGCTCTTCCTCTGTCCCCAGCCGGTGCCCGGAGCCCCCCTCCCCTTCCTCCCCACCCCCTCCCCTCCCCAGCCCTGCCCTCCCCCTTGTCCCGGGATCGCTCCGTCGCACCCACCATGATGGAAGACGACGGGCAGCCCCGGACTCTGTGAGTACCCGAGACGGGGGCAGCCAGGCGCCGGGAGGCCCGGGCGCCGCGGGACGACGCGGGAGGGAGCGGGGGCGCGGGGCCGAAGCTGGGACTTACGGCGGCTCCTTGGCCGGGGCGGCGCGGACGCCAAGTGCATTCCTCCTCTGTCCCCTTTTCCTTGGGGAGGAAGCCCTCCCTTCCCCCAGACGCAGCCACTTCCTGGGGTCCTGGCTTCGTTTCGACCTTCTCCTCTCGCGCCCTTCTCTGCACACCCTCCCTGGGCCGGCCGGCCGCCCGCCCGCCCGCACGGCCGGGGCTGTCAGGCCCGGGAGAGCTGCTCCCCCTCCGGCGCGGGGGCCCCGGGCCGGGCCGGGCGCCGCGGGTCCCCACGGGGGCGGGGGCTGGGCCTGGGCCTGGGCGGGGGTGGGACCGGGGGTGGGACCGCAGCCTCGTGCCCGGGGGCCGGGGGGCCCGGGGGGCCCGGGGGGCCGGGGGCCCGGAGGCGGGACGCCCTCGCCCCGCACGCCCGCCGCCGCGCCGCTGCCGGCCCGCGTCGCAGGCTGAGCTCCCCGAGGAAGCGGACCCGGAGCCTCCCCTCCTGCCCGGTCTCGCTCCCTGCCCCACGTGCCCCCGCCCACGCTGTCAGACGCTCGCCGAGCGCCCGCTACTTTGGAAGTGCAGAAGGGATGCCTCTGGCCGCGCGAGCATCTTTCCCTTCTTCCAAGTTTACTTTGAGCGCTACCTACGCTAAACTGACAGCCAGTTAGTCGTTTCACTGCTTTCGCTCTTCTGGTGTTCCCTCCTCCTGATCTGTTTTGTGCTTTGAGACCCTCCAGAGTTGGATGAAGTGTTGTCTATCCACTATTCGATGTGTGTCTTCTGAGCGCCCTTTTCTTCCTCTATCTTGCTGTGGCTTTTTTTTTTTTTTTTTTTTTTTTTAACACCTGAAGCCCGGTCTAATGAATGAGTTTCAATCTTCCAACCGCTTGTTGGAGTTTTCCTTTCTTTCCTAATGAAGAGTGATGACTCAGCATTTGCATTCCTTTCCGGATAGTGTGGCACTCCTTTCTTTTTTCCTGCCTTTTTTTTTTTTTTTTTTAAGAAAGTCTGGGTGATTTCTAATGAACTGTTTTAAGTTGGCCACCTTTGGTTTTCCTAGCCTCTGCAAGCTCAGCACACCTACCTCCAGTAGGAGTCAGATCGCTGCTTTGTTTTCTCTTGCCTCTGCCTGGTATTGATACGATCATAGTCCACTCCGCTCTGCTATCTGTTGGGGAAATTACTTTTTGGGGGAATAGATGAAGGTGGATGGGTACTCAGGAAGTTTGACTGGATTCTCATCTCTTCTACCAAAGAAAGCGCTCAGTAAAGAAGATAGATCTCTATTTACAATATTGATACAGGTTTGGGGTTTTTTTTTTTTGTTGTTGTTGTTGTTGTTGTTGTTTCATTTGGGAGGGGTGGGGGTGGGCTGCCGCTCTTTGTATTCCTGGTTCTTTAAATGTCTCAACCAAAGTATTTGCCATCCTGTTTTGAGAATTTGAGGCCAACTTAAGCACGTCAAATCCTTCAGTGACAAAAGTCTGCTTTGGAGAAATTTTATATTTATATTCTGCGCTGTCTCCCATTGCTGACTTTTTTTTCCCCCTGCAAAGAGAGAATTGGAACAATTTGAAATTTGCCCTTTAAAATCTGTTGAAACCAAGGCTTGATAGCCACGTGTGCTGTGATGGAAGCATCTGAGAAAGCGGATTTAGTGCCTAGCTAGCACGTATTTAACAAAGATAAAAGTTACATTGTATCTAAACATCTGAAATGTCATCATTGCATCATAATAGCTACTGAATAATTGGTAAATTCTCATGGCACCTTTCTCATTAACTGTATCTGTTCCTTAAGAAGAGGAATTCCTGGTTTTGTGGGGCTAAATAATTTGCCATTTCGCTACCTTTAATTCATATAACTATCTTTGCATTTGCCTTATCTTCATCTCCATCAGACCTTGGACCCTTCTCCAGTAGACTAATGAGCTAACTTTGTCACTTCTTACCTCTGCTCTCTCCAATCTCCTGTTTTTCTCTGAAACACACTTACTTTGTCTGTGTTTACAGTTGTCTAAGAATGTGACATGTGTACATGTGAGTAAAGAAACATCTTGAGCTTAGTTGTACCTGTATGTCAGTACATGTTTACTATTCTGTCTTCCTTTTTCCTTCTCCCACTCTTCTCTATGGGAAGGGTTTTTTTTTTTTTTTTTTTTTTTTTTTAGACAAGGACTGCTACATCTTCCTAGGTCTTACCCCTGCAGCACTTAGTTCACTGCCTGGAACACAAGAGGTACTCAAATATTTTACAATGATTATACTTCTTTGAATTAGTATTAAGGTTTTTTTTAAGTCCTGATTAATGTAAAATCATGAGCAGACATGACTGTCATACATGGTGTGGTCTGATAATTTTTATGAATATATTTTTTAAAACCTTTGAATGTGGAATTTTGAGATAACAAATGTTTCAGATTCAGGATTTCTCGATCAGATTTTAATAAAAATAATGTATAGTCTAGTTTTTTTCTGTGTTCATTTTACATAATTCCCCTCAAAGGGTTCTTTTAGGTGTAAGTAACATGATGAAAACTTTGAACGTGACTTTAGAGGTTGACATCTAGTAGGGTTTTATTTTGTTTATTTATGGAGATCCTTTTATTTTACATTGTGATCTGTGGGTTAGGTTTTCAAGTGGCTAGTATGTTGTAAGAGAATGTACTCTTAACAAAGCTTATCTTAAACTGTTTCCTTAAAATGCCTGTGTGTTACTAGTGAGGTTTTTTTCCTGCAGACACACACAAGCTAAGACATATGGTTCTATCATCAGAAAACAATATGGTGTTTATAGCCTAGGTAGGTCTTTAAATATTCATTACCTACAGTATTACTAATTTATTTGATGGTATTTAAAGTGGTATAGAATTGCTTTGATGTTGAGCCTAAAGTTTGTTTATCCTTTAAAGGTCTGTTTTCTGATGTTCTTTGTTCTTATTTGACATTTATTTTGGGGTAATATATATTGGATAACTTGTGATCTAAAAAAACAAACGAGATCATTCTGTGTAATCTGGTGTTAGAAGTAAACTGCCTAACACCAACCTTGTGGGACCCACATTTCAGACTTGTGAGTAGCTTTTGAGTGCAGAGATTTGATCTGAATCTCTAATACAACATTAAATTATAGCAGTGCTCTATTGTGGTTTAACTTTCATTTATTTCATGCCTCAAAATTCGTAGGAATTGTGGATCTGGGATTACACCATGTTATGCTATGCTTTCCTGTTCTTTATTTCTGATAGAAGCTGTCAAAAGAGGAAATAAAGCAGTGATTTAGAGTATAACCTGAATATTTGAGGGTAATAGCAGAATAAACTATTAGATTCCATTATAAAATTGCTTAGCTATATGATGGATTTGGCTATATTGTGGCTGTAATGAAGCACCTCTGTCAACTCAATCACATTCTCTGTTTCTTTAAAATGGGTGTGTGCGTGTGTGCGTGTGTTAATATCCTGTATATAGGTGGTCAGTTCGCTTGTACCCCCTTGTACCTTTCCTCCACCGTGCCTCCTTCCTAAAATAAAATACCCACAAATTGATGAGTTCATTTAGAGGCCTGTTGAAGGATATTGTTATGAACAAAAGCAAAAATGTTACTTTCATGGAGATTTAGCCATACTGTCTTGTGCAAAAGTACACGTAATTAATTTCAGCCTTGGTAAGGCTACTCTTTTCAGAGTGAGAGCACATTCAGTGTTGAAAAAGCATGATTAGTTTTCTGAAAGGCATGATGTTCTTAACTTAAAATTCTGCCCAGTTGGACATAGGAAGTAGTTTGGCAATGTGAACTTTTGCCTACAGTGAAACTGCCAAGTTTCTGGTCTCAAATTGGATTTTAACCCTTAAATTAGGGATAAAAGCATCATTTCCCATTTTTAATGCTTTAGTTCCAACAGTTCCTGTTCGTAGAAGACAAAATAGACCTAAGGTATGCCTTTTTTTTTTCTTCAGTAAAAAATTGTTTTGGAATTTCCTCAGTGTTTATTCTTTGAATTGACCTCCTGATACAAGAATTTGAGCCATTTGTCTTTTTCTGTATTTTGTATGTTTCAAGCAGAAACTTTATACTTTAACACTTGGAACTTTAGACTATATTGACTATTTCAGAAGAGAAAGAAAGTAAAGTGTAGGAACTATAATTTAGAGAGAGAAAAGATACTTCACTGTACTGCCAAGAGATGATGTTCTTTCTAGGTCAGATGTTGAACATCTGCCTTACATATTTTTGTTAGTATTTATTTTGGGACATAATTTTATGGTAATGTAAGATACACTGTGCAATACAGTATTTTAAAAAGTTATAAGTAGTTTCTTTGAATACTATGAAGGATGAAGGCATATGCAAATGAACGAATTACAGAAATTGAGTAAAGGAAAGGGCAGTCTGAGATTTGGATAAAATATAGGTGAAATTAGGGATCCCTGGGTGGCGCAGCGGTTTGGCGCCTGCCTTTGGCCCAGGGCGCGATCCTGGAGACCCGGGATCGAATCCCACGTCGGGCTCCCTGCATGGAGCCTGCTTCTCCCTCTGCCTGTGTCTCTGCCTCTCTCTCTCTCTCTCTCTCTCTGTGTGTGTGTAACTATCATGAATAAATAAATAAAATCTTTAAAAAAAATATAGGTGAAATTATATGGTGAATTACATCCCTTTTATCCCACTAAATTAAGATGTTGTACATGTTATGGAAGCCTTTTTTTATATTAGTTTTGGAATTTAGTTTGCTGCTTTACCACTGAATTTTTAGTGTAGATATTTGAAAAATAGGAAACCTTAAAACTGGATTTTTGTATTTCGTGTCATTCTAAACTTAGATTACCATTTTACTCCTTAGCATCAGTGCTTGAAATGTAAATTACCATATCTAAGTGTGCCTCTGGAAAGTCTTCAAAATTTATAACTCACTCGAAAAAGATTGACTTGGAATAAAAACACTATTAAAACTGTTAGGTGTGGAAGGTAGCTAATGCCCATGCAATTTTTGTGAACAAATCCGTGTTTAAGCAGTAATGCAAATTTAAAACTAAGTTATTTACATTGTATTATGTAAAAATAATTATTCTACTATAACTTTGTTATTAGTGTCAATATGTGAAAATCAGTTTTATCCATTCCTCTTCTATTCTCTAAGCAATGAGCTAACTAGCACTTTAGGCTAAATGAATATAACATTTAGGATACCAAGGTCACGTCTTCATTTTCTTTATAGAGAGTTCTACCTCATACAAAAAGAAATTATTCCCTGGATACAGGCTCACAAATCCATATGAGTTAAAAAGGGACAGGCAGTTGTCTGACGAGCTTATAATCCTATAACCTTTGGTACTGCTGTGAAAAAGTGTGTCATTCCATGGCCTACCGACGGGTCTGCTCTACTTTAATTATAAGAAAAAGATGGCGTGGTAGACCTAAAGCCGTTTGTCACTAGTTTAGTCTTCTATTTAAGTAACATTGGACGTGTGGTTCACTTTTAGAGCATGTAGTTATTAGTGCCCATTGCAATGAAATTCTTAGTTGAACTGGGAAATCGCTACTCATTCTTAATCAGATCATTTTTTTCTTTTTACACTTTACCTTTTCTCAGTTTATTTTTCCCTTTCAGGATGTTCCAGCTTAAAGCAGTTATGTATTTAATATGGTAACCATAGGTGCAATGCTCATTTTGGTCTCAGTGATCAGTTTCCAGATGTTATATATTATCGTTAGGAAAATAAAACTTAACGTCTTTTTAATTTCCAGGAGTAGCTATGTTAAAATTTATAAATGTTGTTTAGTTCATGAGGTTGTTCACAACAGATGTGAGCTTTAGGAATTATACACTTGAGTACTAGAAAGATTGACAACTTTGGCCATTTATTAAGCTAAATTCATATAAATCCATGGACAAATCATATAAAACCAGGTGGTCATTTCTGGATGGTGGTATTCTTTTCTTTTGAGTTTATCTGTATTCTGAATTTCTTAATATAGGATAGAATACGTATATTCAATATGTAATTAAAAAAAAAATCCCAAATCTTTAAATCAGCATAGTGGAAAGTATACCTAGATTTGTCTTATATTTCTCTGAATTTCTGGAGAAATCTTTATATTTGTTCTGTTATCTACAAATAAAGGTGTATTTTGTTGGTTCTGGTGTATTTTACACTAGGAAATTTTTATTATTTTTGCCCTGCTTTCCTAAAACAAAACAATGAAGATATACCATCAATGAATCTTAATTATTAGCAAGACAAAACAAAACCTTCCAATCTCTGTGTTTTGCTATAACTCTAATTCTGTTCTTTGTTCGTGTAATTGCTTTTGTTGGGGATCTAAGATAAACTCCCTTTATGTCTAATGTCTCTTTATGATCTGATCTTATAATCAATCAGTATTTTTGGTATTATTTATGTGTGTGTGTTTGTGTGTGTGTGTCTCTCTCACACACACACATACACATTTTCAATTGTGTTTTACATCCAGAATTTTTTTTTTTTTTTTACATCCAGAAATTGTAGCTATCTGGAGATTGGTTTAAATTTGTGTTAATTTTATTCTAATAAATAAGATGAGAAAATGATATGTAGGATACGGAGTAATAATGCTTTGGGGGTATGCAAGGTCACAGTGATTTCTTCTTTATAAAATGTTTGAAGTGATACGTTAGTGGCCTGATTTAGTACCCAAGAACACTTGCTGCTTTTCTAAGTAAGGCTTCATCTTACCTGCATAGGATTAGGCTTAATCGTAAAAAATTGTGCTGAAGACAGAGGAAGTTAAAATGAAATAAAAAGTGTTGAGTTAAATGATAATGCATTAGCGTCAGAGCTGAAGGGAAATTGCTGATAATGTATTCTTTTTCTTCTTGAACAGATACGTAGGTAACCTCTCCAGAGATGTGACAGAAGTCCTTATTCTTCAGTTATTCAGTCAGATTGGACCCTGTAAAAGCTGTAAAATGATAACAGAGGTAAGATCTTCCCAGTTCCATGTGCTGACAGCGTGATGCTTAACGTGGGAGATACATAAGTTGATTAATATCATTTTAAAATGTCACTTTAGGCCTCAAGTTACTCTGATGGAGAGAGATTCACATTTATTGTGTTGACTTACTACTTTGATTTGGCAGACAGACTAGGTTTAGAACGGCGTTTTATTTGAGAGGACAAAGTTTGTGTGCTGTTACTCTCACGTGGTCATTCTTCAGGATGTAGTTACCTTCGAGTGATTCTGCTTGTAAAAAAACTGTTAGAGCGTATCTCATAGTGCTGAAAAACCAGATAATACTTCATACGATTCCATTAAGAATGTTACCTGTTCAGATAATCTGCATGTAAGGTTTAGGAATTGGTGTAGTAAAAGAACATTAGTTTCTTGTGTGCGTAGTGCAGCACCGTGCACTGTGGGTATCTCTACTAAATACTAATAATAGCAACTGTATGTAGACTGGACTTAAGTTGTTACGGTGATCATTTTGTTTTTCCTCTTTGCAAAGAAAACTTTCTTTTTATACTTTGCTGGTTAAGACTGTGTAGCAGTGGGGATCCCTGGGTGGCGCAGTGGTTTGGCGCCTGCCTTTGGCCCAGGGTGCGATCCTGGAGACCCGGGATCGAATCCCACGTCGGGCTCCCGGTGCATGGAGCCTGCTTATCCCTCTGCCTGTGTCTCTGCCTCTCTCTCTCTCTGTGTGTGTGACTATCATAAATAAAAATAAAATAAAATAAAATAAAAGACTGTGTAGCAGTGCCCAAAGAAAAGACTGTGTAGCAGTGCCCAAAGGCTCGTGGTTCAGTTCATCTTCTTCCTTTGTCTTTATTCACCCACACACTTTTTAGACTATTTACTCTCTACCAGCTATTCCAGGAAGTTCTAGAGATACAGTGCTAAATAAGACAGTTCTGGGCACTAGAATTCTACAGCCCACTGAGGGAGACAGAGGAGTTAACAGGCACTAATGACACATGCTGTGGGAGCACAGGGGTCTGGTACAGTCTTGGGCCTGGGGAGGCTTTATTGGAGGAATCAGCATCTAGGCTGAACCTCAAGGATAGCAGTGAAATCTGAGGAAGAAGGGATTCCGGGTGAGAGAAGAATGGCGATCCAGTTTGGTAAACAGGGAGCAGGTGTGCTCATGAGAGGAAGTTGAAGGTAGAGACCGTGGTGTGGTTGGCGTTCTGAATGGGATTAGTCATAAAAGATGGCAGGAGATGAGGCAAGAGTGTTCAGCAGGGGCTGGAAGCTGTGCTAAGGATTTTGTGAGGGGAACTGTGAAAAACCCGTAAAGCAAATTGGCCTTTTGATTTTCTTTCCTAGCTATTAATAATCTTTCTTCTGTTCCAGTACCCCTTCTTTCCTTTGATCATTCATTCATTCATTCATTCATTCATTCTTTGATTCATTCATCAAAAATTTACTTTATGCTAGGCACTATTCAGAGTGCTATAGCTCTGGGGCTATAGTGGAAAGCCAAAGGAGACTCCCGTGAGTTTACATACTATTGAGAATATTGTTAACAAACAAGTAAACAATAATTGCAGATAGGCATAAGAGCTCTGACGAGAATAAAACCATTCTGTGATGAGGATTGGAGAGTTGGTGTTTATATAAGCTAGGTGGTGAGGGAAGATGTCACCTCTCTGATGTGAGACAGGAATAAAAAGATGGTGCCATCTGTGTTCCGAGCTAGTGGCAGAGGGAATGGCAAATACAAAAGGCTGTGAGTTGGTAATGAACTTGGTGAGTTCATGGACCCAAAGACCAAGATGGCTGGAACCTGGGGAAGTAGAGGGAAGTGGTGGAAATGAGTGTAAAGAGATAGGCAGGCAGGGTTCAGAATCACCTATGGTAGTAGGGGCCATGATACATAGTTTGGATTTTACTCTGGTTGTGGTGGAGTTTTAAGCGGAGTAATGAGGCACTCTGGTTTGCATTTTTAAGATTATTTAGAGAATGGCTTGTCATGGAGAATGGATTGTAGGGTGCAGGAATGGAAGAAGGTAAACCAGCTGGGTTTATTTTACTAGTCTATGTAAGAGCTGATGGGGATTTGTTCTTTCGATTGGTAGGCGTAGAGATAGAAATAGGGAAGTTTGTAATATAATTTGCGGGTGGAATCAATTAGTAGGACTGGATGGGCTGGGGAACATAAGGGAAAGGAAGACATTAAGAAAGACAAAGGCTCTTGTTTGCAGTTGTGTAGATGGTCATGCTATTTGTTCAAATGGGAATGACGAAGGGAGGCATAGTGTGGTTGGGGGAGTGGTAGGAATCAGGAGTTCTGTTTTGGCAGTGTTAAACTGAAGGTGTGCATTAGCTATCCAAAGGAACATTTTATGTATATAGTTGGGTAAACTGAGAGACCGGTGCTGATGATACCGGCTTGTAGGTGTATTTGAACCTATGGGACTAGATGAAATGTGGACATAGTTCACATTTCACTAGATGAAATCTAGTCCCTTGATCTAAAGAGTGCTGATGGAGAGGGGTAGAGTGGTCTAGGTCTAAGTACTGGAGCATTTCAACATTTAGGGTGATGCTTAGAGTTTGAGTTAAGGGGGAAGAACTGCCTTCTGAAAGATTTTCCATTAAGAGAACCAGAAAACCAAGAGGCTATGTGGAACCTAAAATAGAGTATTTAAAGGAGGAAGAGTTGTTAGCTGTTTTGAGTACTGCTTGAAAGTCTTAAATGAAGACAGAAAAGGGATCACAGAGGTGGCAGAGGGGTCACTGGTGAGCTCAACACAAAGTTTCACTGGCCTGGTTGGGTAGGAAGCCGATTGGAGTGGGTTCAGGAGAGAATTGGAATGTGAGAAAGTAGAGTCACTACAAAATTTCTGAGAAACTTTTGATAAAGACTTATTTTAATGGTATTCTTTTTAAAAACTGTGTGCACAGTCATCCATTTGAGGGGAGAGGGATTTGAAATGAATTTTTATAATTCATCCATATTCTGCAACTCCTACATTCAAATTTATAGATAACTGTAAAATAAAATCTCATCTTGATGTTTATGTCATCCAACAAACATTGGTGACTACTAATCAAGGTAAGGACACAATTGATCTCTAGAATGTCCCTTGGTGGCATAAATGGGAAGTGTCCAAAGAGCTAGGCGTTTATTTCCTTTTTCATAAATTCATTTCAGTATATGAAAAATGCTTTTTTCCCTTAGTTTTGTGATTTTAAATTTTTTTTATTTATTTTTTACTTGAGATATTATTTGTTGTAGATTCTAGGTTTCTCTCTATACTATCATGTTATGTTACCGATTTTAAGGCTAAAAAATTCTCTGACAGTGGGTTGGGACAAAAATCAGTGATGTCTTACCTGGAATGCAGTGTGATGTGAGAGAGGGAGAGAGAGAGAGAGAGTGTGTGTACACACATGCATATATGCATATATTGAATGGGGTTGGCCTGCTACTAGTTAGGTAAACTTGAAGTCAGTCTCCATGAGTTAGGGTAGTTTACTAAAGTGTCTTGTTATCATGGATCTACCATTGGACTCCTGTGTATGTTTTTGCTAGAATTACCAGTGTTTTCTGTAAGGACCATCAGGGCTGAGGAGATAGTAAAATGAAAAATTAGCTAGCATAGTTTTTGTTTGCTATTTACCTTTACATCCTTTCTACAAATGAATGTTATTGATAAACGTTAACTCTTTTACAAGAGGAATTTAAGCATGTTTTTCTTTGGAATCTTTTCCCCATTTCCTTTCTGTACCTCTTAACAGAGTTCACATGGCTACGACAGTGGGATTTTATATGAGAGCCCGTAGTTTTCTTGTCAATATTAATGATCACACTTTTTCCCCCCCTCAAGGAAATGCCTTCTGGTTGCTTCGTCACTATTGTTTTAGACGTCTTATTTTGGATTTTTCTTCTAAAACTTTCCCGGAATGAAAACCTGTGGTTGTTGAAAAGATCTTTATTTTATCTGGTATTATGTACCCCTTGTAAGTGCAACTAGAATTCCACATTTTAAAATAGTATTATTTTTTTTAGGGCGTTTTACGTTGAACAGTGATGAGTGTTTTTTAGCCTTACGCAAAAAGAATGTATTTGTACAATTTTGTAGTTCCTCAATACAGGTTGCAGTTTTATAGAATTCAATTCTGTTTTGGTTGTTATAAAGTTGTTATAAAGTATAAAGTTGTTATAACTTAGGTCATACTTTCTGATTGTCTTCATAAATGTCTCTTTGCCAACTCCTGTCAAGCATAATATTGTAGAAAAAATTTAACGAAGGTTTCTTTTTGTGTGTGTGATATAAAATTGTAGCTTTGTCCTGGCATATTTTATTCAGACATTTTCAGAAATCCTTTTCTTGATTACTAGCGTGCTTTTCTGGCTTTTGAAGACTGGATTCAAAGTATATAGAATCTCCTGTTCGTTAGAATAGTTTGAAAGATGGGGGATTCATTTCAATAGCAGATTATAAATTTGAAATTTTTGTTTTTATTTTCATCCCTTATCCAGGAAAGGAGTACATAATCATCTCCTCATATATAGTATTCATCCTAGTTTTTCAATCATAAGTAAAGTTTCTCAAGTTGGTTCATTTCTGTATTTTTTTTTTTTGTCATGGGACATAGTTTATGAGATTATGATGCATAAATAGAATTCATCCTTTTGAAAATTATGTTGGGAGAAAGAAGAGCAGTGGTAAGGAGTGGAGTGGTCCTTAAGGTTTTGTTAGGTCTAATATAAAATTCTATTTTACATTTAACATATTCCACCAGGATTCTATATTTTGCTTTAATAATGATAGTCATGATTCTATACCGCTTTGATGGTTCTGTTTGAGTACAACAGTATTCTGAGGTGCAAAGTCAGGTATAGCTGTAAATCTTATTTTTTATTTTTATAAGTGTTAGGCTTTCATAAGCTTATGCAATCTCACCTTGTACATTCCTAGCTGTCAGTAATGTTTTTTCCTGGATTTTCTTCTCAGCAACCCGATAGCAGAAGGGTCAACTCTTCTGTTGGATTTTCTGTTTTGCAGCATACAAGCAATGACCCATATTGCTTTGTGGAATTTTATGAACACAGAGATGCAGCTGCTGCATTAGCTGCTATGAATGGGAGAAAAATTTTGGGAAAGGTAAGATAATAGAATGATGGCACCTCATGAGTAATATATTTTTGCATGTCAAATTAGCTTGTGTGTGTGGTTTTTTTGTTTTTGTTTTTGTTTTTAGCTTGCATTCTTTTTAGCAAGTTTTTAAACAAATATTCAGCTCTGCCGAGTGATGGTTTTGCTTTATTCAACCTAGTGTTTTTACAAAAATTATCCTGTTTGATAAATGATTTAATAAGTGGTAAGTGTTATGGTTCTTAATGACATGCCTAATAATTGTATTAAATATAATCTTTATTTTTAGGAGGTCAAAGTAAACTGGGCAACAACACCAAGTAGCCAGAAAAAAGATACTTCCAGTAAGTACTCCTGCTGCATTTTACTGTGGAAGAGTTCTGAAATTATCCTGGCAGCGCTACCAGCTTAAGTAGGGTTTTTCTTCCCTTAGTATTGCCTGAAAAAGGCTTACTGTAGCTAACTTTTTAAGTATTTGATTACCAAATGCTTTGATTTCAGATCACTTCCATGTGTTTGTTGGGGATTTGAGTCCAGAAATTACAACAGAAGATATCAAATCAGCATTTGCCCCCTTTGGTAAAATATCGTAAGTATCATAATCAATACTATACTCTGTAGTGATAGGCAAAATTATATATGATTAACTTGTACTGGAATTAAGATTTTCTTTCCCTAGTTAGTGTGATTCTTTTTGTTTGTTGGTTTGTTTTGTTTTTTTTTTTTGATTAGTAGATGTTGTTGAAAATGTTAATGTCATTTCAATGTTTTGGGGTCTTGTTTTCATCTAATCCTGTGTATAATATGTTAAAAAATTTTTAAGTGATTGTTTGTTATCTTTGAAGCAGATGTTTGGGTGGAAAGCCTATTATAAAGTCCAACTTTCTGTCAAATGTTTTCAAAATTTGGTGGTTAACTAAAAGTGAATGTGATGTATACTGTGTATTAAACTTTTATAGGAAGAGTTTATAAATTGGGAAAAAGTAGGTAAATCCTTGGGTATATTGTGGTTAAATTGCAAATGTACGTGTTTAATTATAATGATGTGTGTTTTGATATTTTAGCTGAAAAGTAGTACTATTATAATACTAAAATGTTTCATTGTCTGAGCCATAAATGTGGGATTAATTAGTGAACGTTTTTTTCTTACTGGTATTTGATTTCTGCTAGTTAGGGCCTAAATGTTTGAATTTTAACAAAGTTTATGCTCAAATCTCACTTGTATGTTATGTGATCAAATACATTGGAAAATTTAAAGTGGTTTTATAAGTTCTATAAAATGTTTTATTGCAATTTATCTTTCTGATTTAAATCCGTATATTTTATGTATTTCCTGTAGATTTAAATGAAACGTTATAGTACTACTTTACAGGAATATGTTTCACCTAAGAACAACAATATTTTTCTGTATACAATTTGTTGTTCTGTAGATTTATTTGAAAGAAAGATTTAATTCTTAATTTTCTATTTTGATATGTGCTTTGCTTTTTAATCTTTAAATGTGGTAAGTAGTACTGTTGTAAAAATCAGTATAAAAAATAATACAGGTTGCTGTTTTTCGATCTTTATTTATTATACCTGAGACCTGCAGTTTTTCTAAAGTCCAAGTCACAATTAAAAGTAATAGCATTCTGGTTATTTTGCAGAATTGCTCATAAGAATGGACAGGATCTTGAAGGCTAACTGCAAGGAACTGTGCACACTGGAACTCAGTTGTAGATTTTTTTCTCATTTCTATTTATTCTTATTATACATTATTTATATATACATATTTTAGTATTTACATTTTAACATTCTATATTCAGTGGAGTTCTATATTTCCAATCATTTTAACTTACTCACTAAAATTTCTGTGTAAATTTGTTGTTTTCGTACTGGTGTGCTTATTTAGCATTGTTGTTAGTTTTTTATTCTCCTTTCTTAAATTTCTGAAAATGTCAATTTTTCAAAATTTACAGCTGCCCAAACTCCAAAATGATGGTAGAGAATTGACCAAGAAAAATAAAGAAATCTGTTAACAGGCCATGTATGCCTTTTTAATTCCTATTTTTACCTCTTTTTCAATTTTTTAATATTTCATATATTTTGTATCACTAGGCAGAAGACATTTAACTATTTAGAGATTGCATGGTAAATTAGTTAGCATTGTTACAGTAATTTATAGAACCAGTAAACCTTAGAGGACACTAGTCAATAGAATATTAGAAAAGGAAACTATTGTTCCTATTAATCTTCCAATTTGAGCATTTAGTTTAGAAAGTGCAGGCTATTTGATTAGGTTGCATGTTTATTACATGTTTTTGTCCTACTGCTTTTTTCTAACAGGTAAAGAAGCATTAGGGAGAGTTCAGGAATGGCAGTAGTTAATTAGGGCTAACTGGAATTTTATTTAAAAAAATGCTCACAATACAGTGTGTGTGGTTCCTTTTAGTTTTTATTTTGAGGATGACTCTTACTTCCCTCATTTAGCTGTGCTTCTTTTCACAGGGATGCCCGAGTAGTTAAAGACATGGCAACTGGAAAATCCAAAGGCTATGGTTTTGTATCTTTTTATAACAAACTGGTATGTTCTTTCAACTCAACGTAAATTTAATACAAAATTTAGTCGTTTATTAATTGGAGTCTTGAATATTCTTAGATGTTGACTATAAAATTTCTATGTAATTTTGTGTATTTTAATAGAGTATAATTGTTTTCTTGGAAATAGCTAGAAAAAGGCTGATTATAAGAAAGACTATTATGGTTGCATTAATGCATTGGTGAAGGTAAGATGCTGCGTTGGAAGTCAAACTCGACTAGGACGTATGAAAAAAGAAAAAAGAAAAGACTAGGACATATGAACTCATCTCAGAATTTGGAGGGAAGTTAAATTATATTTAATAGTTTTAACTTTTAAATTATCATCCATACTTTTGTAGTTAGAATATTAATGACTATGGCAAATTATGTAAATGAAAATTAAAGTGATTCATCATGATTTTTGCATGTATTCTTAAAGAAAGAGGTACCAGAATGTCTAAGCATTTGTAGTAACTTTAAAATCGGGATAAAGTGGGCTTTGATAGTATTTAGAACAGTTTTAGCGACTTTTAAATTACCTATATCTTATTGAAGTGCCAAGATAAAGGTTAGGAGCTGTATTCTTTTGCTTAGATTCATTGCAAATTCACATTAGTTGTGATAATTAAATTCATTTTTATTGCCAGCATTCTAAATCCTAATGTGGAAATCTTCTGTCTTAAAATGAATTCTTAATCTTGTATCACAGTCATAGTCCATTGCTACTAGAATATAGATTTTGGAGTATGTAATTTAAACCATAGTATTGGGAGTTTCTGTATATTCAGTAAAAGTTACGTTTCAGATCAACCATTAAATTAAGGTATTTGTGAAGAACTTTGTTTTATGGGATTCTTGATTTCCCTCTTTCTGGTAATCAGTGGGATTATGATTTTTTTCTTACATATTTGAATTATAATCCTTTTCCCTTGATGCTTAAATGCTTTCCTAGTATTTTGAAATCTGTGAATAAAAATAGTTTTGGCATATCACTGAAGTTCAGATTTTTTTTTTCCCTTTTTTTTTTTTTTTTGGTGATACTAGTCAGTTTTGTTTATTTAGGATGCTTAGTGAATTCATTCCCTTTACTGGTAAGATTTATTGGCTCCAGCAGTGCCAGCATTTTATTTCATCTTCCTGGGTCTTATATGCCACAATTTTCTTCTCTGTTTGTAATTGCTTTCTTTCTCTTTTTCTCTGTAGGATGCAGAAAATGCAATTGTGCATATGGGAGGTCAGTGGTTGGGTGGTCGTCAGATCAGAACCAACTGGGCCACACGTAAACCACCTGCACCTAAAAGTACACAAGAAAGTAAGTTGTGTCTACTGTGTGTGTTAAAATTATGGATACTTCACCAAATCCTGAATTAGGGTAGTCTTAATTCCTTAAAATATAAATGTTATTACCATTGTAAGGCTCGTTTCATCTTGAATTTAATTGTCTGGTAGTAATTGGGCTTTGATAATTAGTATATTTGGAGCTGTGAACTAGCTGATTGTTTAGATCAAATCATGGCGTCAAGAAGAAAAATTCAGTTTTCACCCCCAATTAGGTGTATCTCCGTACATAGTAATCAGTTTGGTAACTACTGTACAATCATCAACATTTTTGTTTTCTTTCTGTATATAGATAACACTAAGCAGTTGAGATTTGAAGATGTAGTAAACCAGTCAAGTCCAAAAAATTGTACTGTGTACTGTGGAGGAATTGCCTCTGGGTTAACAGGTATAGTGTATGGTTCCCTCCTCCCCTTCCCTGCAGAGCTGTATCACTCTTAGTGTCAGTATCGTAAGCCTTAAGTATTTTATTTGTGTGTTTTTGTTTCTCAGATCAGCTTATGAGACAGACTTTCTCACCATTCGGACAAATTATGGAAATAAGAGTTTTTCCAGAGAAAGGCTATTCATTTGTCAGGTAAAATTCTACCTACAGGCTACTCCTTTCTTTGACCCATGCCTTTCAGTTACATTACTTGAAACCCTCCGGTATCAGTTTTTGCTACTTAGTAGGTTGGGCAACATAGTACTTTAACCTACCTGTATGCATACTGTTCTTTAGGAAAATGCCAAGTTGACAGTTACAAACTAATACATTTCTATATTTACTGTGTAAGTTCTTTTTTTTTTTAAAAAAAGGACAAAACCCTCATATCTTCCCCTTTTAGATTTTCAACCCACGAAAGTGCAGCCCATGCCATTGTTTCAGTGAATGGCACCACGATTGAAGGACATGTTGTTAAATGCTATTGGGGTAAAGAATCTCCTGATATGACTAAAAACTTCCAACAGGTAATTCGATTTTTCACAGCACTTTTTAAGGTTTCCATCTTACATATCTACATAAAAGCTTTAGAAACTGTAAAATAAACAAAATAAAGCATATAGCTGCTTTCAGTTTATTTTATTAATGCTTTTTCAAAAGTGATTATTTTGCGGTATTAACTGAATCTTAATACTTTCTTTCCACAGGTGTCACCACCCCAATAAACTTAGACAATGATAAATAACAGAGTCCTATTCACATAAGGGTGCTTACTTAGTTTTTCTCTTCCTTGTCTCCCACTTTCTTCAAATACTGTGTTTCTTACTTATTCCCTAAAACAGTAATTTGCTTTTTCCTAGGTCGACTATAGTCAGTGGGGCCAGTGGAGTCAGGTTTATGGAAACCCACAACAGTATGGACAGTATATGGCAAATGGGTGGCAAGTACCGCCTTACGGAGTATACGGGCAACCATGGAACCAACAAGGATTTGGAGTAGAGTAAGTTGTTTGGGTTTTTCCAGTATAGAAACATACAGTTTTGACAAAAGAAATCAAAAGTATGTTTTTCTAGGGAGAAGCTATCTCAAGTAAATTCATCAGGCTATCTGACATTGTTAGAGTTACAGAAACCTTATGAAAAGTGATTTATAGTGCTAAAAATGCGCTTTTTATTACCTAGGTTACTTTGAAGTAACATTTGTGTCCTCCTATCTCTATAAGCTGTTGGTAGAATTTCATTTCATTTGCATTTCTAATCTATTTTATCTCCTCGTTTATTTTTGCATGGAAGAGGTCTTTGTCTAGATATGTTTAGAAATGTAATGATTTCTGTCTGTTGGGTTGTGTGAAAAGTCTAAGAAATTATGTGGTACAGAGTAGCTTGCTTTTTTCCCTTTGTTCATAAAATGGTTTTGTCCTTTGCTTCTTCCCCAGGTCAGCCTAGATCTTTATTTTTACTGATTCCTTCTTCCTTCTTTTTCCGGCACGAATTTTGTGTTTTTTAAATTTCTTAAATTGATGTACCATGTGTGCAATAAAGGATAGGTAGATGATCTGTCATTTTTAAAAAATCAATTTTGAGATGCTCTTCAGAGAAGTCATTGTGTTAAGTTGTGATTATGTTAACAAAAATTTGAGACTAATGTTAGGATATGGATTCTACATGTGTGGATGTGTGTCATTTATTTCTTTGTTCTTTGTTGTAGATGTGTTGATTTCTTGTTTATTCAATGATGGGGCTCTGCTTGATTTTTGTATAAAAATATAGAAAATTTTTTTCTTTGTGTTTGCTCAAGATGTTTTGTTTTGTTTTGTTTTCCAAGTCAATCACCTTCTGCTGCTTGGATGGGTGGATTTGGTGCTCAGCCTCCCCAAGGACAAGCTCCTCCCCCTGTAATACCTCCTCCTAACCAAGCTGGATATGGTATGGCAAGTTACCAAACACAGTGAGCTGGGACTCTAAACAAAATTGTAATTCACGATAGCTTCAGTTTCCTGTGACACTCTGAAGACATGAAAGTAGACATCGGAAAATGAAAATATTTATTTTAAAAATTGAAATGTTTGGAACCTTTAGCACAGCTTTGCTTTGGTGAAGGACACATGTCTTCTAGTTCTGCCTTTTTAAGTTTTTGTTCATGATGGATATGAACATGATTTTTCTTTGTGTACAAAAACTAAAATAAAGTCAATAAAGACAATTCTGACTACAAATTTTGATATAATAGGAGAAATGGGTAATACATTTTGATTCTTAAATACTATTCCATTTTTATCTTGCTGTTCAGTATTTTAACTCACTGTGTTTTTAAAAGAGCAAAAAAAAAAGGGAGGATCGTGAAAAACTGGGATCACATATAAGTTCATCCTGAACCTTGATACTCCCCTCCCCTCCCCTGAGGTGGACCACATTCGAAGTCAGCAGAAAAAAAGTGTGATATTGAGAAGAAATTGCATGTTTTTGGAGTCGCTTTGGAGGAAATACTTTCTTTATACCTAAAGAAACTGAAGCCAGACTGATAAAGAAATTTTACAAACTAAATAAGGAACAGCATTATCTGAGTTACTTGAGTGAATGTTGGTGGTCCACATTAAGACATATTTTTAAAACTTTAAAAAGTGTTGATTATTAAAACTGTAGTAAATTACATTTCATTTGGGGGGGAAATTCCAAGTATGGTGTTTGTATTTAAGTCAGACAGTCATACTTGTGCTTTTACATGAAGTTTAAATGATATACATTGTAAATATTGAATAACTACAGTGTTTAAAAAGCATGCTTCAACATAGAAGTAGCAGCAATGTAATTATTTGAAGTAACACTTAACACACTCCACTGCATTGAATGCAATGGATTGATAAGAATGTTTAAGACTGACACTTCCAAGGTTGGCTACTATGTAAAATTAAAATTATACAAATTACTATACAGAAAAAGCCTTAATTTTAATTTCATACAAATCTTTGATGCATAAGTACATTTTAAAATGTCATTGGAAATTAGATTTTTTTTTCTTTACATCACTTGGTATGTAAATACCTTGATTAAAACCTTGTAAACCTATTCCAAGGTTCCTATAAGTTGTATAGTACAAGTGTTTTTAAAAAATCTTGGGGTGTTTTTTAAAATTAGATATATTTTGCCCGAGAATTTTTTTAACAATATTGCTAAAACATCTTATTTAGACAGTTTGATGTACCAATTTATAATTGGGTATTCAGCTTAAGTAGTACACAGAGTTGTGACTTTTATTTTTATTTAACTTTTTTTTCCTTGTGGGTAGTGTGCATGGGATAATAAGCCTGATCAGAGGCTGAGTTGTATGTGTGCAGAGTTTGTAAATGAACCAATTGGGTAGATATAGAATACTGAAGTTTGCTTCTGAGATATTTTTTCAGGCTGTGTGGATAAAACCTGCCTCAAATTTCTATCGTAACAAGAATGTAAAAGATAAAATCCTATGTATTTGAATTCTGACAGCTAGAGGGTGCAAATGTTTAGGCAGTGTATTTGAAATGTTGCCTTGAGGCCTGGGCACCAAAATGAGAAAACCTTTACCAGTTAAGTAGTAAGATGCAATTAATACCCGCAAATTACTATTTTTTGAACGTTTAAAGTCTTACAGTTAGCTTTAAAATAATGATGATATTATAAATTGGTGACTACAATAATTCTGGTATTATTTTTCTTCTTCCCCCATTTACAAGAACAGTCAAATGTATTAAACATGAATATTTGTGGGGTCTGAAGTTCATCTTTGGGCCAGATTTGTTATGGCACTTTAGTTTTAACCACAGGAGTCATCTGTGACCCTCTTCTGTGTACAATTTACCCTTATTTCTTTGTTAATGGCTAGTGTCCTTGGGGGATGTTATGGAAAAGTTACTTTATATTTTATAAGGAGAACACTCAAATTATATCAATTATGCCTCCTAGTTTAAAATTTCTTGAATATATGTGAAACTTGAACAACTAAAGACTTTTTTTTATATATTGATATTCTCAGTTTGCCTTTTTTGGTCTGCCAGTAAATTAAGTAGCTTATTGCAATAGCAGTTAAACATAGCTGCAGTGTTTCCTGGTTGTATATTCTATGATTTAATAAAATTATCCAGACTAGTTATATCGCCATAGTAAACATATTACTGAAGTGTCCTTCGTCTCAATCTGAAAGAGAGAAAGATTTCATGATCAGTTAGTGGAAGTTATTTCATATTAAATGGTTTTTAAAATACAAAGCTACTTATCCAAATGAAATGCACCATTTTAAAATACAACTGTCAAGCTAACACAGACTCGAGTCTATTTTATAATAAAGTGAAGTCAGTGCTATCTTGATGAACTTAAGCCTAAGAATCGTTGTCTTTTCCATGTTCATTAAAAACAACAGCAGAGATTCTTTGGCACGTGACAAAATGTTTCTTATTTCTTAATTATTTTGAGATTTATTTTGGTGATGTGTTTCTGACTGCCATCTTTGCTCTAATAATCTCTCTACTAGTATTTCCCCCATATCATTCCCACTTGATTTTTATGTCTGCTGGCAGTGAGAGGCTAAAATGGCCAACGTAAGCCAAAGCTGTAAACCACAGTTGAAGTAAGTCTTTCAATAAAGACTAGACTATATGATAAGTGGCTTTTTCTTATTGTCGTTTATTACTTAATTATTCCTTCCAGGCTGCCATGAAATAAGCAGTTTTGTTGTAACTTATTAGTAAGGTATATGGAATATACATATATTCAGGATCTATGTGTTACGTATAAGTGTCAAAAGTCCATTGGCTTTGTTGAATTAAATTTTTTAATTAAAATTTAATTTCTGGATATGGAGCAGTAGAAACCTACATCTTTCTAAAATTGTATGCTCTCCTGAATATTAATATAGTAAAATTTCATTAGAGTCCCCAGATAATGGAAATCATTGTTTTACCACGTCTAGGTTGATCTTTGGGAGTATCTGCGAATTAAGTTTGCACTCAACAGACAAATCAGAAAAATTAAATCTTACCTGTTTGTTAAAAATTAGTATTTGGACTTCCACTTAATACAATTTAAACCTTGAAGTTGGTTTTTAGTGTACTTTGGAAAGGTGCAAAAACGATAAAGACTTTATATAAGCCTTCTGTTCCAAATGAGCAGGTTTTGTTAAATGTGAATTCTATGTGTGGTAATAAAGTGTCCTACTTTGTCTGAATAGGTTACCATGAGTTAGAATGCCATCCATTCTATTTTGAAACAAGGAAATAATGTGAATAATCACGACTTGAAATAAATGTGTTCATTAGTACAGATTATTGTGAAATGTGGGCTCCAGTCTGCTCAGATGGATCTACTTTGACAATTAGTATGGAGGCTAGAAGCTAATTCACAAGGTACTTTGCATAAACATCTTTTTTGGGGACAAGAATGACTTTTGGTTTTAAAATTGCCTAAATGTGAAGGAGGTTCAGTTTATATCTAGGAAGTTTAGGAGGGGTGGGGATGTATATATAGTTGGGGTTTTTCGTAATCTTGGGCAAAAGAGACAGGACAGTAATGATAATTGACTTTTTGATCTAGTCAATATTTTGAGGGCAGAGAGCTTAATCCACATTCTGTTCACAGTTTGGTTTTTAAACAATGTCAATGAGAGTAACTGTTAACAAAAGTTATGTATCAAATTATTGTCTTAAATGTTCTAACTCAGTTCTAATACAGTTGCTAAATTTGACTTTTCCAAATTGTGTTTTTTGCAATCACTAACCATTATTTCTCTGAAGTGTTCTCTGGAAAAGTGATCGCCATCTAATGTTTTGAAGTCAGCTTTGAAAGTCTGCTAGACAAATGCAACTGGAGTGCTGTCTGCTGGCTGTTAGAGGAAGGGCAGGCTAAGCGACATGTTGAATAGTAATCTCGGTGGAGCTGTCCAGTTGATCTTGCAGTTGGGCTCAGCTCGCCTACAGATCTCCTGTTTTGACTCTGCTTTGTTCTGGTGAACTGACAGACATTCGCAAAGAACCTAGTTGCCAGGTGATACTCAAAAATTGCATTTTTGAGGTAACAGGTTTTGCCGTAAGTAACCAATTGGTATCATAACTTGCTCAATTAGGTTTTTTTTTTTTTTTCTTTTCCTCCATCTTTCTTCCTGGGGTTTTGGTATACCAATGAAGAAAAGTCCAAAACCATCCTGACAAAATGGGCATGAAGTATGTAGCCTTATGCAACCTGCCTGTTTTGAGAGTTGATACTAACGTATGTTTTACATTTTCACAGTTCATTTTATTGTTTGAGATTTGTGATTTGAATTGATAGGTGGTTTATTTTTTATTTTTATTTTTTAAAAGATTTTATTTATTCATGAGAGATACAGAGACACAGGCAGAGGGAGAAGCAGGCTCCATGCAGGGAGCCCGACGTGGGACTCGATCCCGAGTCTCCAGGATCATACCCTGGGCTGAAGGCGGCGCTAAACCGCTAAGCCACCGGGGCTACCCCAATAGGTGGTTTATATAATTACTTTTGCTCACAGAAGTAAAGCTAATTCATAAATCTTAACATAGCTAAACAAAATTGAGAATGCCGTTTTAATAATCTTAGTTTGCTTTTTGAAAAAGACTAAACTTGTAAAAACATTGTTAGTTTCCTTTAGCTAAGTAGCTAAGCTATATTTTAGCCTGTGGCCCCACTCAGACTTGGTTATCTGTTTAATGAAGATTTGGACTGGGAAAGTGATGACTAGGATAATAAAGGGGGCTGAGGTCCTTGATTTGGTGGAAGAGTGTTGATATGGGAACAGACAGCCCTGGGCAGGTAGAGCAAACCATGGTGATCAGGGCTTCAGTGCTGATAATTTTATAGGTTATTTAGTTTAAGACCATAGGCACATATGAGGAAGACTAGGAGACTTACCAGGTCATTGAAAATAAATTATCACCAACACTTTTGTCTTATTTACTGGCCTTGATCATTTCTTTGCAGTTTCCTTTAACGTGTATATCTATTAATGTATCTATATGTCTGTTAGAATGTGGGGCAGATGCTGCAATACTAAAATACTGCCTTAGAGTGTTTTCGGTAAAATGGGATTAAGATACCTTTCAAAATCCACATTTAGTTTATTATAACCAGGAATCTTTTATTTTTAAAAATGGACAACTGCCTTTCCAGATTGCTTTGCTATTTTTGTATCTTTGGTTCTGTCAGTCGCCCTCTGCTAGAATGTAAGCTCCATGGGGGCAGGGACTTTTGGTGACTGCTCGAACCCTGGGACTTACAGAATGGTGCTTGGCACATGGTAGATGTTAAGTAAATGTTGAATGCCAAGACTATGATGTAGGAAGTAAAGGTAAACATTTTAGTCTCCCTCTTAAAAACCAGAACATCTAGTGTTCTACTGGAGTAGAACTTGGCCAGAATCAACTGGGTGCTTGTCAAAATGCAGATTCTGAGTCCCCACAGTTGTGGATGAAGGCAATCTGAAATAAAGTTAATTGGTGTGGATTCCTTTTTTCCTCTTCTAACTCTTGTCCAGGGAAGAAACCCCTATTGCCCATGGTCACACATTCTCCAGAAAAAAATGGATTTTGGGGAGTTCATGATCTCTGTAATCGCTACCCTATATAGCTTGTCAGACATCTTCTGAAGGTGATTATGTTCTCCTTGTAATGTACTTGGGTGCAGCAAGTAGGAGCCGTAGCTGCCCTTCCATGGCACTCTTCTAAGAATGTGATCCTGGGCTACAGTGCCAGATAGTTTAAGGATTACTTTTTAGGAAGAGGGGCTAACAGCAAGGCAGGAATTGGGTTCCTGGACAGGCAACATCTGAGTATAACAGACAACCTGGAAATAGCTGTGGGAAGTGACACAGTTGAGATTCTTAAAGTGGCAATTGTATATATAGTACATAGACTACATCTAAAGTCAGTGTGTGCCTCAGCGTATTTACTGATTAAACTGGTTAGAGCAGACGGCAGTTTCTTAGTTGTTTAAGTGAGGATGAGAAGACAACTTATAAGAGACTTGTACAATGTTGGAAAACAGGTCATCTGAACAGTGGTAGGCTTTCATGGCATGGTGTCTGCCACGTGAGCGCACAATTAAAATAGTGTCTTGTTTAAAATTTGGTTTGCCTTTCTATCCTGAAGGGTAAATATTTAGTGAAGACCTTATATTCTGTATTCTTAGTTTGGTTGGGTCTTAAATGTGCCCTGAATCTGGCTCTGCTGTCAAAGGTTTTAAATTTTCATATCTGGAAATTACTTGGATTTACTCACAGGTAATTTATTACCTCTTTCAAACAAATGTTTTGTTTTGACATTAAATTTGCTGATGATTTTGTTAGACTTACTAGGCTGGTGACAAAATGCAAAAGCAGAAATAACCAAAGCCTGTCATCGTGTAGATCTTGTGTCCGCACCCCCTCTCCCCCCACTGCATTCTTCCCCCCAGTCAGACTGTTGTCCTCCATCTGCACCACTTCAGGAGCTCCTACCTCATAGACATAAGTACGTGCCTGAACATTCCACAGGAGAGGACACGTGTGTGCACAGCTCTGAACTCTGGAAAAGGGAACACAGCCACGAGATGGCATGAGATCGGGCAACGATGTTGCTAGCACCCAGAAGCTTGCCTGCTCTTCTGGATAGCTCCATTCTTCTGCTAACATAACTGGTAGCCTGATTTCTGTGACCATAGATTAGTTTGCTTATTTTCTAACTATGTAAATATGGAACTAAGTGGCTTATATCCTTTTGTGTCTGATTTACTTAATGCTACGAGTTGTTGCATGCCACTGAGTTTTCAATGCTGTATGTAGTATATTGTGTGAGTGTCCTACAATTTATCCATTCTACTCTTCATTAAGCCCATGGCTTTCCATTTGGGATTTACCTATAGTGCTCTAATGGATTTTTATAAATGTCTTGGGGAACATACGTACTCATTTCTGTTGAGTGTATACCCAAGGATGGAATTCGGGGTCCTGTCGTGTGTCTGATGCATTTCAGTAGCTGCTGCCCCACAGTCTCCCAAAATGGTTACATCAGTTTGCACTTGGCACGCAGCATGTGAAAATTCCACGGACTCCCCACATTACCAACAGTAATCATTGGTCTTTTTCATTTTAACTGTTCTGGTATTTTTCCTAAGTTTTAAGCCCTTAGTC